TGCGCATTAAATATCGCATGCGATTTATCGTGCAGCCCTAGTTTTTACCCAGTTAGACATAATTATGTTATCATATCCATGTCTGAAGTGTAAACTTTTCTCATATTTTATTAATTTACAGGTCTATAAATCACATTTTTAAAATCAAGCAACCTCATATATCCAGATGGTAGGAACCCTGGTTCTTCAAAGAAAAAAAGAAAAAACATAATTTCTTGATTTGTAATTGTTTCAACTTAATTTAATGCTTCTTTACCCTTTATTTTTTTATCGTTATAAGTCATTTGGAGGACCCTTTGGAAGTTTTCTGAGGCACCCTGGTTGAGGACCTGGTTCACAAGGACACATTTATTGGGGACATATGACAGATTACTCACAGCATTTGTTGGACAGTTTGAAATGTCCTCTAGAGAGCTGTTGAAGATATTGGCTCATTAAGATATAGCATCTGTGATTTGTCCCGTTGACTATTCACCTTCTCGCCTACCTGATTTGTTTGCTCATTTTGTAAGAGCTGTCCATCAGTAGAGAGCAGTATTATGAGAGTTGGCTTGCAAATGATATTGGCCAGACCGCCATATTTTGTCTGGTAGAGAAAAGTGGACTCGTAACAAGGACATGCACACACATACTGACTGGTGTGCTTTACCATATTTAATCCTCTTTAATCGGGGGGATTTGTTTCCTATCGGAAGAATTCACCAAATACGTCAAATTGATGTTAAAAACAAACAGCCTCTTACGTCATAAGCTAGCGTCATGATATGACCAACCAATCTGTGAAGTCAATTTTGGCAAATCTGAAAAGCTTTGAATTAAGACTTAATTCGACAGGACGGGTATAAAAACACTGTTTTATAACTGAAGTTTATGTGAATGTTCTGATGTAATGATGTTCTGCCTTTGTTCTTAAAGTGTGTTAAGGGTTAAATGATGTGTCTGTAGCCATGTTGAGTGAGGGTTTGTTTTGAAAACACTGAAATGCTACAGAGCCAGTAACTTGAGGCTCTGCTGCCATCTACAGACATCCACATGTACTCGCACATCAAAAATGTGGTGCAGCTTTACAAACTCCTCTCTGTAGTTCATATTTTGTTCACTAGAGGGAGATGTGGTCAAATGTATTCAAAATGTTTAAAAAAAAAAAATATTTTCTGAGATGAGAAGAATTAATCTAAGCCAAGGAAGGGGATGTTGCTGTCATAGCAATACACACACATATTGGTTTACTTTTTAAATGGATTTTTGAATTCAGTTATTACCTTTATTGTGTAGTTTGTTTAGTTAATATTTTGGTTACTAGACAGTGATGCGGTCAAATATATTTTTATGACTTATTTATTTATTCATTCATTTATTTTTTATTTTATTTTATTTTTTTTAAGTGGCAAATAATTTATGTAAGGACATACTGGCTTGATTTTTAATTGAATTAAAACTATTAAACTATTAAAATTATATAAAATATATTGAAACTATTTTTTTAATATATATTGATAAATATTTCTGTTTAGCTTTATTTTTATTTGATTTTGAGCTTTATTAATTTTAATTTATAAGTTAAACTTATAGTTAAATAGGAACATTTCTAGTTTCCTTATGTTCACGTTTTTTTACTTATATTTGTATTTTATTTTATTTGTTTATTTTATTAGTTTATCACTTTTTTTAAATCGTTAGTAAATTAGTTTATCTTTTATTGCCTCCCGTAATGTCATTGATGAAGTGTAACTTATACAGTTACACTTTATCCATATGGAAAAAAAATAAATAAAAAAAAATTCAGAAATAACCGAATGCAGTTTTCAATACTTTTAGGTTTTTAATAGTAATTCTTTGTTTAGTTTGGTATGTGTGTACAGTAGGTCAAAATATTTTGTAAGCATGCATTCCTGACCTGTTCACTCACAACTAATAAATGCTGGTTGTGTTTTTTTAGGGAGCCTAGGAAAATAGTCCTACATCGGGGCACCACGGGACTAGGCTTCAACATTGTAGGAGGAGAGGATGGAGAGGGAATCTTCATCTCATTCATATTAGCAGGAGGCCCTGCAGACCTGTGTGGAGAATTAAGGAAAGGAGACCGTATCATCTCTGTAAGAAAAAAAGTAGTTTTTTGGTATCATCAGCATAACCATTTCAGAGAAACATTGATTTGAAATTTCAGTACATTTCAGAATGTCTTTGTATATTTCTTTTTTAATTACAACAGCACTCAATCAGCATAAACTTTAAAATAATTTTTCCAGGTTTATAGTAGATTTTACATTCTGAATTTTCCATGCATTCTCAGACTGTTGGACCCCACTGGCTGCGTTTTGCATCAGTGCTTATTTATTAATATTGTATGTGTGCTATAGGTAAATGGGGTGGACCTCCGCAGTGCAACGCACGAACAGGCAGCTGCAGCACTGAAGAATGCCGGACAGACTGTCACCATTGTGGCTCAGTACAGACCTGAAGGTAGGCAGTTCCTCTCACAATATTTCGGACAGACCAGTATGTTTCAATGTTAACAATAATAAATAAAATAACATTCTTATGGCATGATTCCATTTAGAACTGGATTTCTGGGCCTTTCCTTTGTAACATGACAGCTTCAGTCCTTTTGTTTCTTTCAGTTGATTATATAAGGGTCTGTCATGTTTCATTCTGATACCACCAAATGTAGCCTACACTTGATTCAAGCCTAAATCTCATAAACTTACTTTTATACTAATGAATTTCCACACTTTGCTTCAAATTTGTGTTTCCCCACAGCTATTTTATTAGAGAGAATCTCTTTTGACACAAACTCTAGCTTTTAGCTGAAAAACGTGATTAGATGCAGCATAGAATACTACAAATGCTTATTTGTTTATAGCTGGGCATGGCAGAAAACCATTTCATGGATGGTGGACTGTGATAATGGGAAGAAACTCAGTTGCAGTGACACTGTGGATCTGATAGAAAACCTGTCATTTGTGTTTAATAGTATATTTAATAGTGTATTTAAAGTCAACATGAAATGCCATTCGCAACCCATTTTTCTTCCATAATCTGATATTGCAACATGACATTGGGCAAGAAAAAATGTTGGGTGGGACTTGATTTATTTATTTGACAAAATACAGTATGCACAGTAATATTGTGAAATATTATTATTTTTTTACATTTGGATTATATGTTTTACATTTTTACTTTTTCCTGTAATGCCAACTTTGAATTTTTTTCACAATTCTTTAATTTAAAATAGAAATGTATTAGCATTTATTTGAAATAAAATCTTTTGGACTATTATAAATAAATGTCTTTACTTTCCCTTTTGATCAATTGAATGCAGCTCTGCTGAATAAAAGTCTAAATTTCTTTAAAAAAAAAATCTTACTGACCCCAACGTTTTGAAATAAGGATAATGATTTCATGTACATGTAAGTGATAATGTTCACAGTTCGCTGTATGGTGTTGTGGTCGTGACTCATAGCGGCGGCTTCACCCTGAGGAGTAGAGTCCAGCCTGGCCGTTCTTTCCTTCAGCTCGGCAGGCCTGGCTGCAGTGTTTATTAAAATACCAATGGGGTAGTGATGACCCTCAGAGTTTTGGCTGGAGATAGTCTGAGAGGGTCTAAATTAAGCTTGTGGACAGGTCTGTGTGTGTATGTGTGATCCGAGCTCCTTTCACACCCCTAGCGAGTGTATGTGTGTTTATGTAGCATATTCTCTGTTTGGTGAAAGCTGTTGTCTTAGCGTGGCTCCTGAGCCTAGCTTCCTGTACCCATCACGCTCCTCCGTTCACGGCCAGCACAGAGCAGCTCTGCCCTTTAGCTTGGCTTTCATTAGGAGAACGTTCCACAATCAGTTCTCTTCATCACGCGGTATAGACTGCAGAGAAACAGAAGAATCTGACATTTTTGAGATTACATGGATTTACATGTTTGAGATTTACCCGTTTGATTTACCCAAATGTTTGTTAAAAATTTTAGCATAGCATAGCAAATCCATATCATAGTCTCTCATCTTCCCTTGATAGTTGTTGATGAGTCAGTGTAGCTTTCCAAAAAAATAAAAAATACAACAAAGGCACACCTACTGTCATCATCATCTTGAGTTACAGTGCGGGTGTCAGTTTGCAAAGTCTCAGCTCTGCTTTGCAGAAGAGAAAGTTGCTCTTCTCTACAGAGAAATGACCGACCTCCATGTGAATCTGTATGTTGTTGTTGTCATCCCTTTTCCATGCCAGACATCTCATCAACATGCTCTTCTGCCCAGTATTCAGTCAGCAAGATGGAGATTGGTTGTGCCCAATCAGGCGGCCACAGGTGCGAGCAGGGTTCAGGCAGCTCCCTGTGGGGAGAATGAGCTGAGATTAGATCCAACTCCCTCTGCTCTCCATATGCAGTGTGTGACAACATGCATAATAAAGCATCGGAAAGCACAGATGCAGCACTCACTTTGACCAATGGCTGCTGAAGAACTGCTGAGGGAGGACCTTGTCAACTCTCCAGGGCTTCTTATAGTGAATATGTCAGTGCTGCATGGTGTTTTCCATTAAGTGCAATAACCAGAGGATGCTTTAGATATCTAACTAAAGAACAGATGTTGTGGTTTAATGATTTAACTGCGACGCAGTCATTCCAGAGCCTCCATTTTTTGACATGAGAAACAAATGGCATTAAATGTTCACTGATGGTGGTGTTTGGATAGGAAATGAAACCCCTTAGGGCCAGACTGCTTTGATCAGAGGGATTTAACGGCTCTGAGGATCTGTGCTGGAGCTTAAAGACATCAGTGTCTGACACACACACACTCACTCACACAGCTAGGCTAAGCACAAGTCCTGCTTCAATGACATGCCCTCCAGTTATTTACAGAATTAAGGAGAAATTTACCCATTTCACTTACCTCAACAAACAAAGAAACAAACTAATTTCTTCCTCTCCAGTCAAAATATTGTTATTCTTGTGAATATTGTTTTTCTTGTGTCCTTAATATCACTTTCCATCCTGTTAGTCTTTTGTAGACAAGTGGTGACATATATTTTGGTGAGAAAACAACAGTAATATCAGCAAGTATTAGTAATGGATTTGATCAATTTTGTGATGTGAGATTATTAGTTGGTTTATCTCTAAACTATTACATAAAAATAAACATATAAAATATACTCCACCCAGATTTACTAATAGCTTGTGCCAACACAATCCTGTTTAAAAACTGTTAGGATTTAATGACACAAAGTGACAAATTAGCCACACTCTTTAAAAAAATAAAAATAAAGGTGCTTCACGATGCCATAGAAGAACCTTTTTGTCTAAATGGTTCCATAAAAAAAACCTTTAACATCTGAAGAACCTATCTGTTTCACAAAAGGTTCTTTGTGGCGAAAGGTTCTTCAGATTTTAAAAAGGTAAGAAAGAGATGGTTCTTTAAAGAACCTTTGACTGAATGGTTCTTTGTGGAACCAAAAATGTTCTTCTATGGCATTGCTGTGAAGAAACTTTTAAGCACCTTTATTTTTAATAGTGCATGTAAAGCATGGACACAGTTATTTAGCAGCTGACCTTAAAGGGGTCCTATTATGCTCTTTTACAAAGTCTTGATTTTGTTTTGGGGGTGTACTAGAACATGCTCTCATGCTTGGTGGTTCGAAAAACGCATTATTTTTCACATAATTTACATTATTAAAATACCTTTCTCCCCAGCCTGGCACAAACGGCTCGATTAGTTCTGGCTTTGATGAAGGTACGCCTTCCGAAAAACAAAATGTGTTATGATTGGTTAGCTGTCCCAGTGCGTTGTGATTGGTGAACAGCTTAGACGGTGTTTCAGTACTGCCACGCCCCTTGCTCCGTCTTTCAACAAAAACTTTTGGGCGAATCTGGCACTGTACTCCCTCGTGTTGTGGAAGCTGTCCTCAGTAAAATGCGCAGCACACAATAGCAAATTGGGGTTATAATGCTCAGGAACAGAGTTAAAAAATAAATTGCAACCACTGTTTCCTGACATCATCCGCTTTCGGAAGGAGGTGAAAAAAACAGCGTTTCAGGCGGTTGCACACCGGATGAGAAGTCTTTAAAATTCAAATACTTTATTTTCTATGAGTGTAGGCACACCGGCGGCGCCGTTCGGCGTCTGTCCGCTGCGCCCAGCTACGTCGTGTTATACTTGTAAGAATTGTTCTAGACATGCCGAAAATTTGAAGCTACAGCACAGCAGCTCTTCTTCGTCGTTTTCTCTGATGCACTAACTCTGCAGCAGCACTTCTTCTTCATCGTCTCGTCTGATGCACTCACTCAACCAAGCGTTCTAACCACAACCTCGCCCCTCCCCACCCCCCAACCATTCGAATTTCTGTAGGCGGGAATTATTTGTAATGATATTCTAATGAGCCGCTTTGTGATATCACAAAGCCCGGAAAACAAACGCTGTAGTCCAAATGAGCCGTTCGTTGTAGTTAAAAAACGAAATATCTCCCTTTGGAGTGGACTTTGAGATTTGTAACTTTCTAGATCTTTTTTATGCCCAAACATACACACTGACTAAAAAAGTGAAAAAGCATAATAGGACCCCTTTAATACATATGCATTTATAGGAGTTTCCATTGTAGATGCAAAATTAATGGGAGGAGAGTATTTAAATGAAACTTGCAAATTGATTTACAAAGGTTTGTGGTAGTCAATTTACCATTATTCAATGCCCCAAAAGCATGTCTTAATTCATTTTGCGCTTGACGTGGTTGCGATAGTAGCCAATTTCTGATACTCTTGGTAGATTACATGGTCTGGCTGCTTCTGTGTTCTTTAATTTGAACATTGTCAGTAGATCACCCACAGAACTTTCCCATCATGTGATTGTAGTCCTCACTAATTTGCCCTGTTTAGTAAATCTGGCACTTTTTTTTGGAAGGCATTGACAGTGGTCACCAAAATGATACAAATATCATCATACGCCTCAGTACACTACTATTTCTCCTGTTGTTAGTTAACTCTCTGTTCATATTTACTTCCTTTGTTTTGCTTGGTGAAATGAATGCGCGGTTTTGTGCTAAATAAGCCAACATGGGTTAGGGCTGTGACTTCAACAAGAAGAGAAAGAGAGAGCGAGAAAGAGAGAGAGAGAGGGGAGGGAGGGGTGAGTGAGCAATTCAAGCACTGTTTAGTCCATTAGCATCTGTTATGTTGCTGTGCTGTAGGTGCTCAGAGAGGCTTTGCGTGGAAGCGTCCAACTAAGGCAAGTTACGCACACATACACGCGCTCAAACACACATTCGTGCACGGAGAGCAGCTGTGTGTGATTTGGAACTGTCCTTCAGCACCACAACACAATTGAACTCCCACATGGAGGGGTAGAGACAGACACGGAGAAAAATGCTCAGAAACTTTCGCTCACTGTAGACTCCTCTGAGAAAAGAACTTGTAAGTATGCTGATTTACTTTCAACTTAATTGAACTCTAATTTGTAGCGAATGGTTAATTTATTCAGTGGAAGGAGAGTTAGTGTTTTATTGTGCATTGATATGTGGTTGTATTTGTCATGAGGTTTTTGTTTTGTTTGAGGTTTGAGGGGTTTTTTATATAGAGGATATTTAACAGACTTGGTTAAAATAATTTTTTTTTTGGAGTTTCCTCCTTGACTTTTACTTCAAAGTAAGACTTTCTTGATTCAAACCTATCGTGAGGTCTTTATCGGGCTATAATGTCAGCATTTCTTGTTCTATAGCTTGAATGTCTTTCTTACGTTCTCTAAGGTCAAACATAGGGAAAGAGCAGGAGCGTTAAGTGGGTTAAACCACTGAATAATTCATGAACCTTTTCACTGTTTCAGTCTAGCGTCATGCAGTTTGAGTCCTGGGAATGGATGATGAATTCACTGGATAGATATCATTAAATAAGATTGCTCCACCATATCAGACCATATCCGTCCTCTCTACCACTTTACGGCTTGCACAGCTGTGCGTATGTTGATGCATCTGTCTGCTATTTAGTGTTTATGCATTTGTAATTCTCACACTTGACAGACCTCAAACAGAGATCCTATACTTTCTCCAAATGCTCTAAACCACACATCTATTATGTCTCTCTCGTTCTGTCTGACTTTTCGTCCCTCCATCTCCATCGATATTACCGATCCACCCTGAGGCTCTAGGTGTTTGAGGGTTTTTTCCTTGTTGTTTATCTCTTCTCAGCAGGACAGCATGTGTAATGTTGTTTTCTGTGTTTCTAACAGAGTACAGTCGATTTGAAGCCAAAATCCATGATCTACGGGAGCAGATGATGAACAGCAGTATTAGTTCAGGCTCCGGCTCATTGCGGACTAGTCAGAAGAGGACCCTGTATGTCAGGTGAGCTTTTACTAATCGCCACTAGTTACATTCGATCTTCCAAACATGCTTACTGTAGATCCTTAATCCTCAGAGATCAACACAGGACTGTGGCACTTCTGCAAAAAAGCACTTTGCATAGAATGTAGTACATACAGTTTTACATACTACCCTTTTATTATTATTGTATACATACTATTATTTTATATGTAAAATCTAAGATTTAAGATCCATTTTAATATTTTATTTTTAAAAACTAAAAAAAAAACATTTTCATGCAAAATATCATGCTGATAATATAATGTGTGATTTAAAAAATGTATAATAATGCAAAATAAAAGCATTTTCACTGATAGCTTCATGCATAGACACAATGGGGTGTAATGTCTATAAATAAATACTAAATGTGTTCACATAGTTCACAATCCATCTCTAAAACCCTGGCAAAAATTGGTCATCTTGTTATGGCTTTCATTAATATTTGACCAGCCATCTCCTTGTATTTTTTTTAATGTATATTGTTTTGTCTGCCGCTGAATGCGTCATAGATGGCCCCTTATGTGAATATGTCATTCTCTGAAGTGTGCCTGTGTTTTTTGCTGCTTTCAGAACATTCAGGCCAGTGGTTACACATTAGATTGAATCACATCATTCCAGGCAGTAACACTGAGGCGAGACATGAAGGGCTCTGTATTAACTGAACGTTTGCCATGTTTTTGGAGAAAGTCTTTTTACCTTCCTGTGTTCACGGACTCCCATCGCTCATAGCCTAGCACAACGGTAGCAGTTAGACATAAAGCAATAGATGATCAGGATTATTATGTAAAACCGTTCCTGAAGTTTTGCTCTCATGTGGCTTTTGTTTGACTTTATTCTTTAGCTCTCGATTTGCTGCTCTTATGTTTTAATAAGAACAGCTTTGACATTTTGAGGATTTGAAAGCCCCTGGGCACTGGATTCTCTACACATGCATGTGGTATCCACTGATTTTAAAACCTAATGTGATTTTTCAGCTGTGTAGGTCACATTCAGCTCAACCCATAATATATTGTCCCTGTGTATTTATGTATGCGTTCTGAAAAATATTAGTCAAATTGGTCATCATAAGAAAAATAGCATTATTTTAAGTGACAGGAAATCTAATCTAAAATGAAATGAAGGACATACAGCAGAATGTTTTACATAGTAAGTCTATATAATGAATGATTAATGGAAACAAACAGTGATGGAAATGAAGAGTAAGAAGCGCTTCCATAAATACCCGGCCTCTAAAGTGCATGTTGCAGTGACTCTGTTTGCTCTAGTTTGGTTTATTGCGAACTGTTTCTGAAAGATGTATACTAACACAAGCTGTTGTGGCAATGTCAACGTAGCTTGTTTTGATGGACGCTTAAAATCACGCAAGGATGTAGGTACAGCTGCAGTCGTCTTTGGCTTTATATTTCCCACAGCATGGAGGAAGCCAGGAGGATGCCCTGGCTTCCTCCTGGAAGTGCTTCATTATTGATGAGGAAACCGAGATAAGCTAGTCAAGAGCTTGGGCAGCTAGTTACTTCAGCTCCAGTTCTCTTAAATGCACATGCACAGAACAGCAGTGGCCTACTTAACATCTCAATGAATCGGTCTGTGGGCAAATTAGTTAGGAAGAATTGCTTTGTAAGATAAAAAAAATAACTTTGGCATTAGGCTAGAGAATGGTTTCACTGTCTTTACAGTTGTTTAATATTCATGGAATCTCATGTAGGCACAGTCTAGAGGCATTTCTTGCTGTTGTGTCTGTCTGATTTATTGTGCTTTTTTTTAAGAAAAGGTTTCATTCTCCCCCTGAAAATCATAATTTTGTTTGACATGCCCCAATTTTACCTTCCCTCTGACCTTTAAAATAAAGGCTGTTCTTGCTACTGCATCTCTAAAACTGAAGTGCTTTTTTAAATACATTTTCCTATTCTAGCTTAATATAATGTAAGTTATTTGGCGAAATCAAAAGATGCTTTTTTTTTAACATCCAGACCAGTCAGACTTTGCAGCATTAGCACAACCAATAGCATGAGTTTTGGGCGGGACTATCAGTTTGTCCTGCTATTGTAAAATGGGGGAGGGTTTGAAAAGCAAAAACATATTTTCAAATATTTTTGCAATTTCTGTTTGGTGATGCTAGTGGCACAGAAATGACACAACAATTAGAAGTATTCCACTTGAAATGTCATGTTTTTGACTAAAATTTCAGTAGGATATTTTTAAGAGTAACATTATGCAAACTTTTATGTGGGAGTTTTATATATAGTCATTATGTATTAGCAATAATTGTTGTTATTATTATTTTATTTTGTTTTTATATATTTTATAATGTTAATTTATTATTATTATTATTATTTACAGTACCTTATCAACAAAGAAGATTCATTAACATATTTTTTCTTCTCTGAAAAATAATTCTTATTACATTCTCCCTCTTCCAGAGCCCTGTTTGATTATGACATAACGAAAGACTCCGGCCTGCCCAGTCAGGGGCTGAACTTCCACTTTGGCGACATCCTACATGTCCTGAATGCTTCGGACGAGGAGTGGTGGCAAGCGCAGCATGTGACTCCAGATGGCGAGATGGAGGAGATGGGCGTCATTCCCAGCAAGAAGAGGTAGGCTGTGCCCCCATGCATTCCAGAGCACACTGTACTGTAGAAATATAATATCAGTTAACCCTCTTTACAGTGATTAACACAATTGTGTGTTTAATGCCACATTACCCACAACTCATAGTCTTTCCACTAATGTTTCTTTCACAATGTCTTCCGTTTCAGTTCACTGCCTTTCTTCATTTTGGTTTAATTACCATGCATTTTTCCTTGTAATAATGAGCAATGAGCACACATACATCTGCACAATGGCATCTAAAAATTAGCATATTTGAGACTATATATGCTTACTTAAGTGAAAGCTTAGGTAAAAGTAACTCTGCTCTCTGTGTGATGAGGGTTTTAACTTGACTCAGCAGCTAGAGATAGAAAACGGTTTGAAGAATGTGGGTGTTTCTTCAATCAAGAGCACTTTCTTTTATGTCCCAGGGTTTTTTTTTAGATTACATTTACTAATAGATTACTTTTTTTTTTTTTGCAAGTCTGCTTGGAGACTTCTGTGCTTTCATTATTTATTTTTGCTGCTTTTAAAATGTATTTTATGTATAGCTTTAATTTTACACTTGTCACAGTCCCAGGCTTTAAACGAAGAGTCAAATAATCATAAAAGCTTTCAATATTTATTGTGTGGAAAAGATATAGATTATCAAAAATCAGTCACGACTTCTTTTCCACCACAACCAACAATTTTGCCCCCAATAAAGTATTATCAAATACTTGGTTACTAAACTGACAGAATGCTTGAGATGAAGATGTTATAAGTGAGTTGCATACAAACGTGTGACAAAATAATTTAATTGTATTTAGAATACAAAGATGCAAACAAGTCTACTCTATTTTTGCCAAAGTCATGGGTTTACTGTCACCCATGTCTAATTAGAGCCTTATATTTCAGCACTGATGTGTGATGCTGTGAGAGTTTCTCTCTCATTCTCTCCACCCAACTGTATATTGATTGAAACTTGATAATTGACTTCTCACCTCGTTCTAAAAATGTGCCTGTCTCGTCTCCCTACTGATGATGCTTGGTCTTGAAGCACAGGGGACAGCCAGCAATGCTCTGTATTTTTAGAAACAAGTTGGGATTTCTCTTGGTGAAAGTTTCTGATCTGCGTCATATTTCATGATACTTCAACATATTTGGATTTTGGAGGTTAGATGTCATCTAGATCCATCAAAGCACAGTTTTTGTAACAAAATGTCTCATGTAAACTCTCCCTAAGAAGCATGTCAGATCAGCGTCTGGTGAATGTTACCATTCAAACATAAAAACATGTATTTTAAGGATAATATGGGGATAAATATTACATACGCCACATGTTTATTCCTTTTCAAGACAATTATGTCTTACTACAATATCTTTATCCTTGCAAAAAGCAAACATTTTTGGGCTTCATACGTTTCTCAACGTCCCTTTTTTTATTTTATACACATGTTCATAATGAACTCAGGACAGTTGTTGTGTATTAACAGTGAAAATACTTATTCCTAAATTCCTTGTCTCCTTCCTCTTCAGGGTGGAGAGAAAAGAAAGAGCCAGGTTAAAGACGGTTAAATTCAACTCCAAGTCTCGAGACAAAGGGGTAAGTGTTTGCTGCTCAAATATTTACCATGTCTGGCATGACACAAACAGGCTTTTAATGCCTTTAAAAAGCAGCTATTTATAGACTAATACATAATAAATTGGCCTTTTGTTTAAAAAGTTTATTTAGTTTACTTGCAGTCATGCGGACATAACCTTAATTTGAAAGAACCCGCCTTGTAGCCTATTTTGAAACATTGTTATTTTATGCTAATTTGAGATGAAAAGTGCTAACAAGATGTTCAGCATTAGAAACATTTTGTTGCACCTTTCTCTTGTGACTTTTCCAAAGCCAAAATGTTCTCACATAAGATGACTAACAGCTGGCAAGTGTAAACTCTAACAAAGTAGTGAAGTATGTAAGTGATGAATCATTCTTCATGAATGAGATGCTTGTTTGAAAGTTTCTATTTGTGAAATTAATTCAGATCCCTTTTACTGTATGTAGTGTACTAATCCTGTATGTTTGTTCACTATTCTCTCCTGTGAGAGGATTCTTAACCGCATGTGACTATTAGGGCTGGGCAATATGGCAAAAAATATTTACAATACTATACATAATACTTTTATTCAGCAAGGACACATTCAATTCATTATTAACTTAAACATGACAGTAAAGACTTTTACAATTCCACAAAAGATTTCCATTTCAAATAAATGCTGTTCTTTTGAATTTTCTATTAAAAATTTTATCTTTCATAATTTCATATCATGAAAAAACATTGATAGTAACAAGCAATGTTACTTGAGTACCAAATCAACATACAATATTAGAATGAATTCTGAAGAATCTTCTGAAATTGCTGACTGGAGTAATGGCTGTTGAAAATTTAGCTTTGCCATCACAGAAATATATATTTTTTTATTATTTTTTTTTATTTATTTTTTTTTTACATTTTGTATTAAAACATTTTTGTATTCATTTTATATTTTTGTATTACATTTTGTAATAGAAAATGATTGTTTTAAATTGTAATAATATTTCACATTTCTGTTGTACTGTATTTTTTAATCAAATAAATGCTTCCTTGGTAAGCATAAGAACAAAATGCAAAAAAAATTGAGACATTTTTAAGAGACAAAAATGTAAAAAAAAAAAAAAAATCTTACCAACCCCAAACATGAACGATAGTATATACTGTATTAGAACGGTATTATATATCTCAATATTTATCAGCATTTTGATGACATTCAAGATATATCACAGTATTAAAATACTTGCTCTGACTTAAAAATAAATAAAAATAAATATATATAGGCCTATGTGTGTGTGTGTGTGTGTGTGTGTGTGTGTTTCAGCCAAACAGCCATTATAGCTTCAACATGTAAGAACTTGTAAAATGCAGTTAAAACCTTGTTAAAAATAACCAGGGTATGTTTTTCACATTGTTTCACACTCACAGAAACAATGATATATATGTTTTCATTTATACTGTATGCTCTAATATAAAATAATGACACTAATATAATATTGTGACTAACAGGTTTTAATTATATGAAATATCCTACTCTCTTAATGGGCTTCAGTGAAAGATACAAACATCATTACATCAGTTATGAACAGATTCACTGAAATTAAAGTTTGACCTCATTAACAGAAAGAAAGCTTACCAACTTACTCCAACACAGTTTTTCTAATGACGTTTAATATACAGTATATACTGATACAAGAAAAAACTGCAGAAGTAGTCTAATGACATGATCTTTAAAAATTGTAACAGAAAAAAAAGCTCCTTAAAATCATCGCAATATTCACAATGTTGATTAATTTTATATGACCACAGAATATATTGTCGAAATTCAATATGTATTGCCCAGCCCTAGTGATTAAAACTCTTTAGTCTTTGCAGCAGTATTGTGTTTAGCACTGGACCGACTCATCATCCACTCTTCACTGTCTTAGCATTTTCAACTGCATTTACTAATGCAGCATGAGCGCATGAATATTTCAGAGAACAAAAACACCTGTATACGCTTGCCATTGATGTCAAACTGCTCTTCACATTCTCTTCCTGCACATTACTCATCTGTCCATCTTTTTATGTGTGCTGTAACTTTGTTCCTGTCCAAACCCTTTGATCAATGCCAATCACTAACTTTAATCAACTAACTAATTCAGGAGGCTGGTCTGCATGTCCTTGCATTTGTACTATAAACCCACCTTGCTAACCTTGGTTGTGGTAACTACCCTTTCAATTTATCTGATATTCGGTAATCCCTCATAAACTCTACTGTGTCTGTTGCCATCTCCAAACCAAGATCTGGTTTCATATCTATTTATAAGTTCTCACATTAGTGATTTTTGTCATTCCAGCATCATTTTATTGGATGGCGGTGGCTATAGAGTCAGTAACATGGGCATCTGTTAAGTTGGGCATTTGTTCATACTTCAACTAGACACCCAACACCATTCCATCTGTTCTTCCTTTTTTGTTCTCCATCCCTCCCTCTCCTCCTTCCCAGCAGTCACTCAATGACAAGCGTAAAAAGAACCTCTTTTCGCGAAAATTCCCTTTCTACAAGAACAAGGACCCCAGCGAACAGGAAACAAGCGATGTGGACCGTAAGTATATTAGGCGTGTGCAGGGCAGGGTAGCGCCACACGCGGCAACGCCAACACCGCTGAACAAAACTCTTGCTTCTGCAACAACCCTAAACGTGACGGCAAATTTGGTTGATCCCTTCTACTGAACCTCAATGTGAGCTGATGTAGAGACAGAATGTCCACTGAAGACCATTGAAGTCTACATATCTGGGTTTGTTGCAAGGCAGGAGCAATGTTCATCGGTAAGACGTGATGTGTTGTTCCAGTAATCATTGTTATTTTTGTGGTTTTCTCTTGTTCTGTGCTCTCTGCCGACTGCTCCACAGGACCTGAATGACAGCAAAGGCTTGAGTAAGTCCACAAAGGCAACAGCAGACCTACAGTACCCCACCGGCCCCACCGAACTCCCTTCGTTCCCCATAAATCTGTTTTGCACATTTAGCAGTGATGTTCGGTTAGAATTGTGTTGCGTCTGCAGCCTGTGTTGTTTCTAGATGGCTATAAAACACAAGCTTTGCAGAGCAGTGCTATGTTCAGTTCCTTTGTTGGCCATTATGCCCTTAACATGTTAATTCTGCTGCTCTTAAAGGGATAGTTCAATCAAAAATGAATTTTCTGTCATAATTTACTAATTAATAGAATTGGCATAATTTATATGTTGTTTTTTCAAAAGGATGGAAACATGTTTAACTGTGACAATAATACAATAGAGTTTATTGTGGCAGTAAATTCTGTCCTCCAACTCTTCTAGAGTATTGCTTAAAGTGATGGTTCACCCAAAAATATGTGACCCTGGACCACAAAACCAGTCTTAAGTCGCTGGGGTATATTTGTAGCAATAGCCAAAAAAACATTGTATGGGTATTATCGATTTTTCTTTTATGCCAAAAATCATTAGGATATTAAGTAAGGATCATGTTCCATGAAGATATTTTGTAAATTTCCTACCGTAAATATATCAAAACTTAATTTTTGATTAGTAATATGCATTGCTAAGAACTTCATTTGGACAACTTTAAAGGCGATTTTCTCAATATTTAGATTTTTTTGCACCCTCAGATTCCAGATTTTCAAATAGTTGTATCTCGGCCAAATATTATCCTATCCTAACAAACCATACAATTTCGAGAAATTGATATTTTGAAGAATGTTGGTAACCAAACAGTTTAATTTCACATAGACTTGCATTGAATGGGCTAAAAATACAATGGAGGTCAATGGGAAATGAAGCTGTTTGGTTACAAAAATTCTTCAAAATATCTTATTTTATGTTCCACAGAAGAAAGTAAGTCATACAGGTTTGGAATGATGTGGGGGAGATTTTCATTTTTGGGTGTGCTATCCCTTTAACAAAATTTGCATTATAAATGCATTGATTAAATCGTGGTGATTATTATGTCTAATTCTTCGGTGTAGGGTTTCCTAAATAAGGGGTTGTGCGGGAACTGCAAGGGGCTTTTGAGTTGATTAAAAAGCTAAAAAGTTATCAAATTGAATGGAACATTAAAATAAACAAATTGCGCAGCATAATTGAAAACTGAAGTAAAACTAATAGTGATATATCTTATGAAATCATGATTTTCAAATCAAAGACTGCGATTTAATTAAATATATAGTCTGTTGCATTACGTTCACTTTGTTTATATTCAGATTCAGATTTTCTAACATTTTTGTTCCAAAATGAACAAAACCAGTATTCTGCCAAAATAAAAACTTGAGGATTTAACATGTTAAAAGCTCAAGTGTTTGTACGTTTGAAAGTAAAGAATTTAAGAAATAAATATTTTGTACCACCCTTAAAAGTAACTATTTCCATTAGCCATAGAATTGTAGTTTTCTTTGTGTCTGGATGTCTCAGCAGGAGCAACATATTTTATTTTATATAATATAAAATAAAATAATTTTAAACTGAAATTTAAAACAACCAAAATAATGACAAAATGGTCAGAAAAAAAGAGATTGAGTTTGATATGTGCTTTTGGGGACAAATGCAAATAATGCCATAGTCAGAAAGTCATTTAATGCTCATGTTCTGTTTGATGTTGACACTGAGATACACACTCCCTTCAGTTCTTTATTTTGATTTATTTCAAACTACAGTAACAAGTTTCTAAAAAAAAATGCATTTCTTTGTGATATAACAATCTTCAATAATATCTACGTACTTGGTCAAATCAAAAATGCTAAAACAATATGGAGGGAAAAAAGCAGATAATTAAAAAAAAATTTTGGGGGGTCAGTAATATTTTAAATGTTTTTGAAAGAATTATTGTATCAGTACTGCATTTATTTGCTCAAAAATACAGTATTTTAATATATTTATTATATAACTTTTTATATATTATATTTGTATACAATATATTATGTAATTTATTTCTAAATTTCAGCAGTCCAGATTTCAGTGTCATTTGATCCTTCAGAAATCATTCTAATATGCTGATTTGGTTCCAAGGAAAGATTTCTTATTATTATAAATGTTAAAAAATAAATATCTGCTTAATATTTTTGTGGAAACAGGGATTTTTTTTTTTTTTTTTGGGGAATAGAAAGTTTAAATAAACAGCATTTTTTATTTTCCAACATAAATGTATTTACTGTCATTTGTAATTGATTTTAATATATCATTGTATCCTTAAAGGTATTATTTCTAAAATAAAATATAAACAAAACAAATGACCCTAAACTTTTGAATGTTTGGTAGTGTGAAAACAGTCACAATGAGGGGGTTGAGGTCAGCATGGTTGATATAATGGAAAGTTATGTACAATCTTCCATGATTCCTGGATGTTTAGTATTTGTGTCCTCTCTTAGACTTCTAGACTTCTTTTAGGTGGTGGAGTGGAGCCCCGCTGTCCATCAATGTTCACCGCACCATGACTGTGTTAAGAGAGTTTCTTACATGCATTCAGAGGGTATTAGATGATTTGAAATGTTTCATACTGATAAAACTACCAAACTCATTTTGTACAAGCAATTTTGTGATAAACCGAGCAAAATAAGATCAGCTTCAAAGCCTCAGAGTCACATCCTGCACAGGTTCTTAACGCTGCCATCTGCTGGTGACTGGTCTTAGTATTGTGTTTGTTATATTCCTGCAAAGCTTGTTTTTGTGTCTGTGGTGTTCATTTTCCCTTTTTATGGTTTCAGAGCATGTAACTTCTAATGCCAGCGATAGTGAAAGTAGTTACCGTAAGTTTGTGTTCCCCTTTATTTCCTTTCATCACGTCTCTTTAAACTTCATCAGTTTGAGTATTTAATTCCCTTTGTTCCCTCAGCTTTCCTTTGTGTTATATGCACACACAAAATTGAAAGATGTGTACTATTCAAGACCAACAGTTTACGCAAAAACAGTTTATTTTTAATATTTCAAATAAATAAATATTTTAATCTTAAAATAGGTTGTTTAAAAATGGAGCAGCAAAAGCCGAGATAATTACAACGCACTATTGATTTAACCAACATAAGCTCACTTTACTCTACTATGCTTTATAATTCATAAGCTAGCTATATGATTTGCCATACATGGTAGTTTCAGGTAATAAAACAGGTGCTGGTTATCTGTGTACCTTGCTTAGAGATCATACTGGGTACACAGAATATTATGGCCCTGGAATATTACCTTCAAATAACATGTCACGGTCATTTGAACAGCCTGTGTCTTTCAACAGTTTTGTAACTGGCCTGTCATTCACATTGAGTGGTCTGAAAAACCTCTTGAACTTTGTTAATGCTACATGGCTCTTAAATCTCATTTGAACTGAGTGAAAATTAGAGACTACTGTTCAAAACAAAAGCATGTAAGCATAGGGTAACCAAGTAATATATTTGAAATGTAAATGAATAGCAATGAATGCAAAAGAAATGCATTTGAACACTCAACATCAGATTTACACAGTACATAATAATTTGTGAACTTATATCAGTGTTTCTGTCTCTATTAGGTGGGCAGGAAGAGTATGTCCTCTCGTATGAGACAGTCACGCAACAGGAAGGTGAGTGTCTTTCATTATGGCTTTCTTATATTATGGTACATTGGTTCATATATCTTCATTTTACTGTGTCGGTGTGTAATGCTGCTTGACTGATTGATTGTAAGGACCCATTGTAAGGTTGTTATTATGGTTTACAGTGAGTTATGCTCGTCCGGTGATTATCCTTGGACCCATGAAAGACCGGATCAATGATGATCTAATCTCGGAGTTCCCAGACAAGTTTGGATCATGTGTTCCCCGTGAGTACATAACCATGGTTTTATCATTTCTTCTGCAGAATTTCATACCGTCTGCATTGTTTTTATGGTCGTTTCTGTTCTTTGACCAGACACGACTAGACCAAAGCGAGACTACGAGGTTGATGGCAGAGACTACCATTTTGTTATTTCACGGGAACAAATGGAAAAAGACATTCAAGATCACAAGTTCATCGAGGCCGGCCAATATAACAACCACCTCTACGGGACAAGCGTGCAGTCAGTGCGAGAGGTTGCAGAAAAGGTGAACGAGTTCAACTTGTTAGGAAGTAATAAAGAAAATTATGGCAGTAATAAAAAAGGCATTTTTTTTTTTTTAGAGTATCATGCTGACCTTCAGATTTGCATTGTGCAGATTTGCAATTTTTCTAATTTCTCACATGACGATCTGCGTTTCATTGTTCTTTAAGGGCAAGCACTGCATCCTGGATGTCTCCGGCAATGCCATCAGACGACTCCAGTTAGCACAGCTCTACCCCATTGCGGTGTTCGTGAAACCCAAATCAGTGGAGAATATTTTGTATGTTATTTTTACTGTGAAACACACAATAAATGCTACAGCTTGATTATTTTTGACTGATTGGCACTAGTAATATGTCCTCTGTGTCCTTCGCAGAGAGATGAATAAAAGATTGATGGAGGAGCAAGGCAGGAAGACCTATGACAGAGCCATGAAACTGGAGCAGGAATTCCTAGAGCACTTCACCGGTGAGAACAGTAGAGTAAACTTGCATCCCAATCAGCTGTGACCTTTCTGCTTAGTCATTTTCATGTATACCTGTCCTGCAACGAAGCCGTACTCTGCATTTAAACTCTATTTTGATCATAGTCATCATCTCTCATTCCAAACCCGTACAACTTTCATCTGTGTAACATAATAGAAGATTTTTTTTTGTCCATACAGTTAATAGGGTCCAAATTAATATTGGGCCCCAGCTGAATGTCATTGCATAGACAAAAAAAAAATATATATATATATTTATATACAGGGGCATCTCAATAAATTAGAATGTCATGGAAAAGTTCATTTATTTCAGTAATTCAAACCTGGCCTGCTGCTTGCATTGGCTTTTTGACCCCTGAGCATAGGAAATACATTTTCTTTGGATGGGCTTGGGGTCATGGTGGTCTCACGGCCACCTCTCTCTCTCTCATGCCTCTCTTTGAAACTGCTGTCTGGAACTCACATCCCAATCTCCGCATTTCATCCTCCGGTGGGAGGAGACATGCCTGACCAGCGACTTACTGGACAGATTATACGGTACAGATTCCTTAATGTTTAAGGGAGGTGACTTTCTCGAAGGAAAACCAATGAGTTAATGCATTATATACATTTTGGTTTGTTCTTTTTCCCATATATGATCAAACGTTAATGCTTTCGACACGAAAAGACATAAAGGTCTCTGAAAAGACATAAAGCCACACTTTGCACGTTTTTGCATTAAGAGCATGTTTTGAATTATTCTTTTTTCAGTTAACATATGTTCTTACGTTTTTGAGCTACGTGAACTGCAGCCACCATATTACTTCTGTTTTCTCTAATTTATCTTGTAAAATCAAGCAGCCCACTAATGTTAAGCAGCTGATCTGTTTTGTCACAAGTACACAAAGAGGACAAAAACATTTGGCACAAAAGTTCTTCTTTTTATATTAAATGTCTATTTGTCTTAACAATCTGTGTACAATTCAAGGTGCAAATGGGAGTAGCTTTTAGTTGAGGTGAAAAGGAACAGCTTACAATTATCTTTCAAATCCAGGTGATGACATATTCTTACTTAAAGAAACTGCAATGCAAATAAGAGAGAATAAATTGTAATGTATATTCAACCCTCAGTATACTGCCTATTTTGTTATAATAAAGTCTATATTGAGCTTTAATTAAACTCCACACCTATGGGAATTATTTTCTTTATAATGTCAAACATACACTCGTATGAATATGCGTGTATGTATATAAAAATAAATATAAATATAAATAGATATATAAATATATATTTTCCTTTACTTTTACCACCATCACTTTTGTTGTTAATGGTTTGTTTTATGCAAAAACACTGACACACAGGACACATGGGCTGAATGGTGGTGTTCCATTTGCATCTGCTCAAACAATATGAAATAAAACTCAAGTTGGCAGTTTGTAGTCTTCTGCTCTCTCCTATGTAGTTATGCCATATTTACTTTTTCATGTGACGTGCATGATTTCTAAAAGCAATAGTCTTTGACACATTAAACATGAGCGAGAAGCGGAGGAGAGGGCTTCTCTTTCTGTTTTCACCTGGGATTGTGAAAATGTCAGAGTTAGCATGAACTGTAAACGTTAGAGGCTAGGAGATTCTTGCCTCCATGTGTGTGAACTTGTCGACTGCCCATAGCTGAAGAGAGATTTGCTTTGCCACTCTCTACCACAAGCCTTTAACTCTCCACCAGGGGGCGCGCTGACAACGTCCCCTTTTCGTTCTTAAGTCACTCGGAGATGACTGTTTTCTAAAAGATTGCTTCTCAAACTTGTCATCTTGGCTTTCTAACACATTTTTGACTAGATTATGTACATAATCTGCCAACTTGATTCATTCCATTTGTCAAAGGAGAACAGCTAATAAAAACTTTTTTCTCATATACAGTGTTTTTGTGTATCTATTTGTGTATGAAAAGGTAGGCTAAAACATTTCTTTCAAGTTTGACAAAAGTATTAGGAAGCAAAACGGTCTTCGATTCATGTAAATAATGAATAAATGTTACAAATGCTTCATGTTCTGAACAGTTGGTTCTTCTTTTTAAAGAGATAGTTCACCCAAAATTGAAAATTGTCATCAATCTGTATACTTTACTTATTCTGGAACATAAAAGGATGAAAACACTGCCACCATAAAGTGTGCTGCATTATTGTATTATTGTACTGTATTTGTCGTCGTTAACCATGTTTCCATCCTGTTGTACAACAAGAAAAATCACAGTCACAATTCCCTGTTGGCATTACACCTCTAGGTAGCAGCTGAATAGATGTAACACTTTATGATGACAGTAAAATTATTATTAAAACGAATACAATGAAGTTTTAAGTCAGACAAAATCAAAAAGTGTTTGAGTCTCTGAATAATTTCAATACTTAGTCAAGAAGTGTCTATCTCTATGGTTTTATAGCTAGATATATTCTTATAGCCTATCCTGCATGGCTCGAAAACGTATTGTTTGGACAATTTTGGGCACTTTAGGGGGGGAAGAAACTGAAACTGACAGCCAGAATGTGTCCAAACACCTTTGGTCTCCGTTTTGAACAACATATCTAAACTACGTTTGATTGTCATTTGCTTCTTTTTCAAGGTTAAAAGTTCTTTTTCCTGGGTCTAAGTGACACTGCCCTTGATTCAGAGCCTTTTTAATTCCCTTATGGAAAAAGGTGGAGTTTCAAAGAATGAAAGACCACTCTGTGTGCACCTTGGACCTCCGCCCGTCTGTTGGACGTGTCGTCCTCATGTCTGGTCACATTATAGTCTATAAATCCTGAATTTGACTGCACGTATCTTTTATGATTAAGGTACCGTTTCCCGTTTAGTTATGTCGAAGGGCTGAGTCGTGTTTTGGACTTTGCAACAGTCTCTCAGATATAAAGCTACAGTAACACACTAACATCTGCGCACTCTCGAGTCAGAGATGGACACCTGGGCTATTCTAGGCATTCTGTTTGCGGTCACGCATTACGGTAAGAAACATTTCATATGAGGTGAAAAGAGTTTTTTTTATCTCTGTCTTTATGTATTGTAGCTAGCCTATACTGTAGGAAATGTATGTTTTTAATTAGGCAAGCAACAGTATGAATCTGAGACTCTTTTGGAGATAAAGGTGTGGAAGGCTAAAAATAATGGTGATAATATTATAAATAACTTCGTCCAGTGTCAGGGCAGAGTACGATAAGATGGTGCACTATTTCTCCTGCGGAGGAGTCCAAATGTGAAGCAATGGCTCAGGCCTTTACCAGCGCTGCAATTCGACCAGCGCTACAGTGCATCCTCGTCTCATCGAAAGCCGAATGCGCTCAAAAACTCACCGTAAGTCTGTCTATCCAGTCACCCAACCAGCTAACAGAAAACGTTCTCGGAACTTTGACTATCGTTCTGGCAAAGTTATGAACAAACGTTCTTCCAGTAATATTAATACAACATTCGGTCAGAGTTGTCTGGTCATTATTAATGTTCTCAAAGCGTTAGCACGGAAATGTTTCATATACGAAATGTTTTCGTTGGATGTTCGTCAAATGCTTTTTAAATTTTACTAGTCCTACTTGTTTAAGAGAACATTTAAAAGTAAGACTCCCATAATGTGTGCAACATGATAAAATGGAATGTTCGTAACGACAACAAAGTTTTTGAAAATTCAGAATTAATGTTTTCATAACTTAATAGGAACGTTAGCCAAACGTTATTATAACATGTTAGCTTATCTATCTATCTATCTATCTATCTATCTATCTATCTATCTATCTATCTATCTATCATGTTTTAAACTCACCGTAAGTCTGTCTATCCAGTCACCCAACCAGCTAACAGAAAACGTTCTCGGAACTTTGACTATCGTTCTGGCAAAGTTATGAACAAACGTTCTTCCAGTAATATTAATACAACATTCGGTCAGAGTTGTCTGGTCATTATTAATGTTCTCAAAGCGTTAGCACGGAAATGTTTCATATACGAAATGTTTTCGTTGGATGTTCGTCAAATGCTTTTTAAATTTTACTAGTCCTACTTGTTTAAGAGAACATTTAAAAGTAAGACTCCCATAATGTGTGCAACATGATAAAATGGAATGTTCGTAACGACAACAAAGTTTTTGAAAATTCAGAATTAATGTTTTCATAACTTAATAGGAACGTTAGCCAAACGTTATTATAACATGTTAGCTTATCTATCTATCTATCTATCTATCTATCTATCTATCTATCTATCTATCTATCTATCATGTTTTTTTAATGTGTTGGAAATGTGCATGTGATAAAATGATGTTTTTTTAATGTGATGGAAATGTGCATGTGATAAAATTAAATTTTGCATGTGACGATTTTCTTTATATTTTTACATTAAAATTCTAAATTGTATCACTTTTATAGAACAGAAAATATGTCAAACTACCTGAAAAAAGTACAAATAAAAACCATGTTTACATGTTTATAATTTTCACATTGAAATTATAAAAAAAAAAAATGTATTAATACATTTGTTTATGAGGGTTGTAGCATCACAGAAAAATCCAAGGTTCAGATTTAAAAAGCTTTTCTGCCACACAGAAAATTGATCACAAACATACGACAAATTATAATGTGTCCCTGCTTAGTGTGCATTTGTAGTCTTTTGTCTGTTCATTTTATTTGCAGAAGTACACTAAAATCATTTTCGTCCCAGAAAATTTTCATTAATCAAGTTGCAATTGTGATCAATATTGCTTTTGACAGAAAAATGAAGTTGATGCCTTCTCAGCCAGTGCTAAAGAAATATATGACATTGGCAAGCAAGCCAGCTTCAAAATTGCTGCTGGAGAATCTGGAGCAGATGGTATGTTCTTCTTTTGGTGCTGTAGATACCGGATTATGCGAGTTGTAACTCTGAAATCTGCCTTTGAAATGGAAAGGCAGTGATTAAAGACATAAATGTCAACAGCAACATTAGGTTGAATATTAACCGATTTACAATTTCTGTATCTGTATGAATTACATACTTTATTATAATAAAAAATGTAGTGAATGTCCATTATAAGTATGTATGTTATGGACTATCCATTGTTTTATCTGGCAAAATTCTACTTTTAGAGCAACTAGTTAGTCAA